TGGACAAGCGATGGGTATATATATATATGGACCAGCTCTTCCAGGGCCACTCAAATGGTCGTTTACTTTCTCGTGGTTACCATTCACTGATACGCGACATCGATATTGAACAATTTGATTAGCTTGGCTTATAACGTCGTTCTTGAACTAGGAAACTTTTCCAGTTGTTTGACCAGTGCTACATCACCTGTTAGTCAGCCTGTTGGCGATCCTAGTCTTCGTTTCGTTCCTGAAGAGATTACCATTTCTGTGTTTGGAAATTCCTACTTGATTGTCCGTACTTGTGATGCCTGTCAGCTCGCAACTAATCTAAATTTTGTAATAACTATGAAAAACCTCTGCCAATCCCTTTAAAGCATTCCTACTTCTTCTCTGTCGCGCAGTGAGGCTCTGGTTTACAAAAATTTTGAATCACATATTTATCTGTGTGTTTTCCGTAATCCATCCATATTATCACATATATTTTAAATGTATTGTGCTGGCGCGCATAACGCAGTGGAAAGCAGCACTGTTCTTGTGCAGCAGATGGAGAGTTTGATTACGCCACTGGGAGGTAACCAGTCCCTCTACGATCCATTCATGCACTCGATGGGAAATTGTTCCTGGCCTTGGAAATACAGAGGTGTATAATCTCCATCCAGTACTTGTGCAACTTGCCAGTAAATGCTGCATCGTATCCTATTTGTAGCAATTTCTCGACAATTAAGTCTGTTTTCCGGTCTATGGGTGTGTGTGTTTGGAATTGATGTGAGCTATGAAAAAGCGGTGCGGGAGGGAAGGCTCTTGCCGCCAGCTGCATATCGATCCTTGTTTTGATATAATCAATGTGGAAGCGTGTAAACATGCTCCAGAGTCGATCGTACCAGGCCTAGCAAAGCGCCGCCGCACTGAGTCTTTTCACTCGGCTCCTTAGAGTTATAAACAACTGCCGCACTCCGGAAAATTGTGGAGTGGGCGCGTGGGGCACGGGAGGGGAGGGAGAGGTTTAGATTAGGAAGAAGACGTACCGACCTGTGTTGAGAGTAAACAGGAGGCGAGCAACTCGGCGAGGTTGCGTCCTTTTGCTGCGAACTGTGGCGGACTCAATTTGAACCTCGTAGAGTGGGAGGCTAGGACACAGAGTGGAACTGTAAGGGGGTTGTTCTCGATTTTGTGGATTAGCACATAATTTGATAGTTTGTTTCCAAAGTTTCAATTCCGTTAGTGAAACAGTCGATTCATTCATTCGTTTCGATGGTGAATTGATAGTAACGTATGCCAGTAAGCGTGTAAGCAACAATCGAAAAAGGGAGCCAACAACAGCCTTGCTAGCGAGTGATTGCTTTTAGTATTCGTTATCGCTTAGGCTGCTTCCCGTGTGCTTTTGCCTATAGGAGAAAGCGAAAACGAGGATGGGAGGTGGAAAGTGGACGGGAGGAGTCGGAGAATAGGATCAACTTTTGAAACCAAAATTTCAAACTCTCATCTCTTCTGGTTTCCAAGTTATTCATTTTGCTTGATTTTTTTCCCTTAATTATCATTGCTTATCGATCTGGCGTTTTCCTAAAACGATTTTGTAACTTGTGTAGAATTCACATGTCCATTATTTTTACGGTTATGAAAAATTATGCTTTGATGATTTGTTGTTTCATCGTCGAGTCTCGCCATTCTTCTATATTTTGAATTCCCCTCTTCCACATCACTCCATATACCCTTCTGGATCGGCGGAATCCTAATATATAGCGAACATATTAATTATTAGATTATAGGCCATTTAGAGTAAGGAGTTTGCAAATATTTATTTTAGTTTTTGCTGCTCGGGATCCAAGCGGTTCATGTCGATATTTTAGCCATCATCAACGAGACAAGACGCTGGAAAAAGGGAGGGAGATGGGCTGGAGACACAGACTGAAATATTCTCGTAATTACGGTAGCCTCCCAAAAACATCATTAACATGGCCTATATCTATTCTTGATATTCCTGATATACAAAATTTTTGTGTTTTGTAACAGTTGCTTATTGTTAATAATTCAAAAACAGTCCGAGCGGCTGACTCATATTTGCTGGTCGTCTCAGACGATGTCCCGGACACTATCGTGGGGAAGGCAGCAAGTTTTATTGTTGTCTGAGAAGTTGCGGCGCTTTTTTTTGACCTATTCAGTAAATAGCTGATTGATGGCAGTGTAAGGTTTGTGTATGATGATAAGTTAATTAGAATTCAGAAAAAAAAATCTTTAAAATACTCCGAGCGGTTGTTTTGTAGTTGCGGGGGGCCTCAGACAACATTCCACATGATCGTGGAAAAAGCAGCGAGATTTATTGTTGTTCGGGAAACTGCTGTGCTTTTTCTTGACGTATCTACAATAAATGTTGTGATTGATGGCGGACCGTAAAAAATAAAAGGAAATTCAGCAAAATCGTTTTTCTGTAATAATTTGAATTTGCAGTACTGAAATTCGCTGACTTAGTAATAACTGAAAAGAAACGTAAATTCAAAACAATGAAATTCAGTGTCTTGACACATTGGACCACGAGAGTGATTTGATATTTTAATTAGCTGTTGCTCCATCGATGATTCAGCTGGCATGTTCAATCTATTCTTTTCTCTTTAAGCTTCTCTTATTCACATAATTCCTTATATCCGCTCGAACGATTATGCCACCTTGGCGGCCCTTTCCTATGTTCATTTAACTAAACTATGCGCGCTGGCATTCAGTAATCCGGTTTGTCCATCTGTTATCCCTCATTCGCAAACATAAGAGTGGACTGATATTTGCCTTTGAAATGAGATGATCTGCAACATCTAAAGCACTGGATCACTTCATCTGCAGTGCACTGGCGTCATCCAATTACAGATGCAGCAAGCGCGAGGATAATGAATACGATTTGGGAATATGCTGTTGGTGGCGTTAATTTTTCCATCCCCGGAAATGGGGGCCTGGAATGTACACAGGTTTCATGGAATTTTATATTCTTTTACGGAGAATTTTTTGCATTTAAATTTCAAAAATTTAGTAGCCTGATTATGAGGAAACAAAACGAACAGCAGAATCATCAGGGGGCTGATCACTAGTTGATGCACTGCATTGAACGAAGCAACTGGAAAAGCTGCCAGCTGTATAGCTGGCGAATCAGACTGTGAACTGCAGCAGACCAAAGTATCAAGGATTAGAAATGTTTTCATTGGTCTCCGGCTGGAGCTATCACTTTGCAACGGTCAGTTCCGGCTAATTTCAGTATCTTCCGTTGTGGCAGAAAGTTGCTGAAACAGCATTTTTTGTACCGCTCGGTATCTACGGCATTTATGCGTCATCGAAAAGCCTCGAAGTGCCGTCATTTGTGCCTAAATTACGGAAATGTGAACGTTCTTCCGGAGATACCTTTGTACCATCCAATGCAGCAACGGTTATTTTTACAGTTCTTTCAACAGCCTGGCACTTGAAAGGGCTACCAATTTACCACAAATTCATGTTCGGAATGTTCTTCAATGGTGCAGCTGTCAACCATTCTATCAACTTTAGTCTTGGGCTCCCCGAATCTGTAGCACATCATACATTCGAGTTAGCGAGCATCCAACTATTCTTTTGAAATGTCATGGGTTCCAGTCATTTTCTTGTTTCGTTCCACCTGTTGTTTATCCTCCTTGCCACACCACCGGCCCAGATTCTTTCTCTAGGAAACATTTCCTGTATTATACAAAATTGTCTTTTTATTCAAAAGATAATTTTATATTATACAGGAAATGTTTCCTGTATAATATAAAATTGGAATTGGTTTTTCGCTTTACCTTTATTAGTACTGGCACCCCTCGAACTGATAAGAGCGATCAGTGGTACATTACTGGTCTAGCTTTCAGCCATCCGAGCCATCGGCTTGCGAAGTCTCAGCGCCAGTGGGTGAAGATGTGGTGATACTCAGTGCTGAGGAGAACTCCACGAGATATTCAATTATTGCATTCTACAGTCTTATTTTTGGCGCCGAACTTACCTATAAGTTAATTACGAGGTACGTCAAGCCGAATATCGTTTTGCAGGTACAAAAGAACTCGTACCACTGTATTCGGTGGATTACTGCGCAGAAGCTGAAAAACACCGGGGAACTTGATTTCTCACCGTGATCACCCGAAGCGTCCCCCTGAATTCCTCACGTTAACGGGATGACCTACACGTCGCGCGTTCGCGAAAATTTGCGAAAAACCGCCACAAAATAAGTATATATTGTCTAAGGGAAGGCGAGTGCATACAGCGAGATAACTCCCATGTTGTTCTTAGAGCACAATAATCAGTGCTGCAGTAGTTTAACATGCCGCATCGAATGTAAAAACAAGAGATTCGATTCCTTCCAGCCCATTGCCGATCTGCAAAAGAGCATGATTTACGGTTTTGCGCGGCGAGTTTGAAATGTGGCTAAAGAAGCAGCTAGTAAAGAGATATTCACGGCGATGTTTTTTGCAGTGGTTCGCGCATCGCGGACTTTTTTGGCTGCTAAATGGTCTTTTGCTTTCTTGCAATAAGCAGTTACCAAAATTAGTAATACTGCTAGATAGTAGTATAAGCGCCCAGTGTTAATGATGATACTTGGCTGATCCACATCTGGTCATAGCTATGCCAGGTCTTTTGATCCCGAGCTTATGGATATCTCAACATGTTAACAGCAAGAAGATAGGATAATTGCATTGCAGAACGTGTATATTTTTATTAAATCCGTGCCATGTGGCCACAGCACTGCAGATAATGCTGCTCACAATGCGGACCAGTAAACGTAATACGTGCTTGCTCTTTCGTTTTCACATGTATTTACTTTCCGGTGCTTTTATTGCACTTGCGTTCCCCATCCTAAACACACGTTTGGTGAGTTTGAACTTCTATTACACCGCGAAATATGTTTACGACCAAGAAATCCCGGAGAAATTGGAAAATGAATTTGACTTTTCAACTGAATTTTTTACAAAAAGCTTTTTTTT